TCTCTTCTTTAACTCGGTATAAGAATACAAATGGGAAGGTTGGATCAGGAGTGACAAATAAATTAAATACATGCCAAATGGATCAAAATAGTTTTTTGTTTATAACGTGGATTTTTAAAAGATATGAACAGCACACCAGCAAATAGGCGAGTGCGCTTCAAAAGACTTTTGCAAAACTTAACATGGTAAAAAATAGTGACCATCTATGAGGATGCTAATTGCTAAAATGCTAAACCTAAGACATCCTTTAACTCAGCCAAATAATCCATTTACACGCGACCTTTCACTTATTGATGTACTCACTTTTGTTTGTGTTCAGGTAATTTGACGGGAAAGTAGATTGACACTGTTTTTTTGAACATTACACTGAGAATTTCACATTTGAGCTCAGAGTAATATCTTCAGTGTTGCCCCGTAGTGAAATATAATAAAATATTTACAAAAATGTGAAAGGTGTGCTCACATTTGTGAGACGCTGAAATTGTGTTGAGGAACCATTGATTTGCTCTGTTTACACCTGTCCAACAAAACTAGAGTTCAATTCTAATGAAAAAAAGTGGTGCTAGTCTGACATAACTATCAGTATGATACATAGCCCAACTGTGTGAAAGTAGTCAGATAATATTGCTTCCGGTAATTCACCCTTTCAGGGACAGCGGTTACTACAGTGGACATCTTATCATGTTATCAGGTTACAGGGTGCATGAAAGGTTTTTTTTTTTTTTTTTTGTAAGATTACCTCACACGGAATGGGAAGACAGAAAAAAGAGCAGTCATAATTAACATGAACTAAGCAGCTCAGTATTGTTTGCATCTCCTGTGGAGTTACTTCAAAACATATTCAGTCGCCGAAACAAACCAAGAAAGGAGCATAGCGCCCCCAACAAAGAAAAAAAACAAAACAGCAGCAGGATACCGGACAGCTGAATAGGAATACAAAGTACAACACCAAGCCCCCGTCCATTGTCTGGCCCCTCCAATCACTGCTTGACTTTCATTAATTCAGCACACAAAACAGTTACCAGATGTCATTATTTATTTAGAGTATTTAATAGGCAAAATGCTTCCTTTGAATAATACATTTATAGGGTGGCTTTCGGGGTGGCGCGCGCGTGCGTTTGTGTGTGTGTGTGTGTGTGTGTGTGTGTGTGTGTGTGTGTGTGTGTGTGTGTGTGTGTGTGTGTGTGCGTGGAGGGGGCTCGCTTGATGAATATTCACATGCTGTAAAGGATGGAGGTGGGGAGGATATTTGGCTCAGCTGCACCACTCGTTCACTCGGCTCTTTTGGCGACGGCAGGATCAATATGGCCCGAGCCACGCGTGCACCGCACCATTGGACTCGCTAAAGCCGCTCCGAGCCAGTTAGGCTCGTCTCCCTCTGCTGGGAGAGGGGCTGGACACTGAGCTGTCAATCAAGCGGATGGATAGACAGCGTTTTGATTACGCCAATAAGATGGCCACGAGGTGATGAGTGGGGGGATATTTGTACGGCATTCAACACAGGACCCCCTCATCAGCAATTCCAATTCAACATGAACATCTTCGGGGTTGCAATTTGGTTGGGATTTTATACTTTTAATTATGGGAAGCTTTTCTTATGTTTGTATGGTAATTTACATATTGATGATGAGAAACAATGCAAACTTCACGAACCACACCCTTTGTTTGATGATGTGTAGAAATTTGATGGGGGGGCTTGTCAGATGACTGAGTTTTTCGCTCAGTATTATTGCATGATCTATGTGTGGCCACTGTCTTAATAAAAACTCAATAAAAATAACTTTTATATTATTTTATTTTATTTAGCGGCCAAGAAAATTTGACGTAATAGCGATTCGACCTGTACATGAAAATCTTTTCAAATCAGGTCGCAATTTGTCGTGATTTGTTGTTAGATTTGATGTGACAAAATCTGTCTGTAACTATTTGATGATGGAAAGGTGTTCTGTAAAGAAAAGATTGCATTGTATTTGTGTGGCAATCCACCTAAAGATAATGTCACTGAATTGTCAGAAATTCAAATACAACATGAACATATTAGGTGTTCAGATATGCTGTGAAAATTCATGATCAGTATAATCAACGTTTGCTTGTTGTTGCTCTTGTTCCACTTGATGTATTCGGATCTTGGCCATTTATTACCCACAATCGGCATTGTAACACCAAGATATCTTGTGCGAGGTCTTCCATAATGTAAACAGCTCCACAATGACACAGAGTGGCCTCCTTTGTTGGATTTCAGCAAACTTTACTTACTTACTTTAGCTTCAGCTTTGGTAAAAATTGTTCTATTCGCACTTTCCCATTGCGGATTCAAAAAAAAAAAAAATCTCTTCAATTTCCACTCACGTGCTTACCTGTGACTCAAGTGTAAAATCGAATCCCCCCTTGTCTGTGTCCGGATTGCGCTTCGCTCAGCCAGGCAGAACGTGGCAACATTGAAGAAAAAGGTGACAGCTGCAACCTCAACAGAAGAGTAGATCACAATGCTAGACAGACTCAAGAAGAGGACGGAAAGGAAAGAAGAACAAGTCCTCTTGGGGTGTCGCGACGACACCAAATTCGGCGATTACTCATCCGGAAAATATCGAAACGTTGGGGACCGGATGACACAAAGGAACAAATCTCGGGAAAACAATGACATAAAGAATAGAGCTTGTGATCCGCAACATGAATTGTTGCGCGACCAACTACAATAAATATGCATGAGGGCCGAAGAAGCAGGAGGCAATGATAGCAATGGGTCACTGTCACACAAAGGCCCCGCACATGGCCGCTCAAGCGGACACAATTCAAATGAAGTCCTGAGCAATGAGCCAGCTGATCTGGAGATACAGGCTTTGGTCATGAAGAAGGACACCGGGCAGGTACATTTCAAAACGTCACAACCCAAGAAGAAGGAAGGAATTCATCTTCGGTAGCAAACAAACACGCAAAAATGTTCAATATTTATATTATTAAAAAAAAAGATGAAGCATTACCAACATGACTTGTTTGATAAAATAACTTATTGTGGATAATTAAAATTTTTTTAGCAGCAATTAGGCACTTATGACACATAGAACGTAGTTAGCAGAGCAGTGTGTGACTTGCCCAAACTACATAGATCCAGTCCATAAAATGGTTTAAAATAGAAATGAAAATGAAAAAAAGTCATTTCTGTTTTTTGTAAGCTTTGTGTGTGTGTGTGTGTGTGTGTGTGTGTGTGTGTGTGCGTGTGTTCGCGCGTGTGCGTGTGTGTGTGTGTGTGGGTGTGTGTGTGGGTGTGTGTGTGTGTGTGTGTGTAAGGGGGAGGGGTCTCTACACTACGCTGGTAATGGTGGTGGGTGGAGGTGTGGTTGTTTTTAACTCATATAAAGCACTTATTTAATTTTGGGATGAAAAATGCAATATAAATTATAAATTTAAATTTTGATTGGTTGGTTGAGTGAGTGATTGATTGATTGATCGCTTGGTTGATTGATATAGTGATCAATCGATCAGTCGATTGATTGATTGATTGATTGATTGATTGATTGATTGATTGATTGATTGATTGATTGATTGATTGATTGAAGGAAATATATTTGAAGAAACTTATCATTGTACTAGTGTGTGTGTAAATCTTTGTTCCACTAACAATAAGACCACAGAGTTAGAGTACTCTGCTATGTTTTAATGATGACTGAGTTGAGGACACTTGGGGCACGTTATAGTGATACTGAAACAGGCAGAGAGAAAATTAAACAGCTGTGTGATCATTTTTATGGGTTTGTGATGTTATGGAAAACAAAATGTTCCCCCCGTGACAATAACCGCAGGACCAGAAATTAGATTTCGATCCCTCTGTGCATCCGTAGTACGCAAAGAAGCAATGCGATCAGAGAGTCAACATGGCAAAGTTTTGGAAGGTTCGTCTTCTTCAGGGTGTGGGTGAGATGGAGCCAATCAAGCTGATTTTAGGCGAGAAGCGGCATGCGCCCTTGACTGGTCGCCAATCAAAGAGAGGCACAGAGGTTCACTCTCACATTGCAACCTCAATGAATTCATGTTTTCAGAAGGTGGGAGGAAGCACCTAAATAAAACACACATAAGCACGCAGACCCAGCTCCACACTTGAGGGGCTTGAGCTGAGATTCGAACATTGAACCTCAGAACTGTGAGCAAGACATGCTAACCGCAAGCACAAAATACCTCACTTCATAAATTCAGCAATGCATGACCACTGTTGCTAAGAACAAACAGCTCTGTCACATCATGGCTGCCCCGTATTGAAGTACTTATTTTGAAGACATTTTGAAGTTGGGATGCTTCGGATAAGCCAAGACATATGGAGGCAAAAGTTGGGAAAAAGTGAAACACTGAAAAATGGGAATGTTGGGAATGCGACTATCAAATGTAGGGTGAATGAGCTCAACATTTCGAAGTTGGCCTGATTTGAATAATTGAATAAGGAGAGGAATATGGAAGCAGGAGATCAATTTGGGAAATAGATACTTTCATTCTCGATGGGGGAGGTTTTCATTTAATTTCAATATTGAGAACTGGGGAATAACTGATAAATTAAAAAAATACAGACGTATGAACGAGCTGGGTATTGACGTTGGAATGATTTGAATGAGAGAAATGTGGAAAGATTCGGCACAAAAATTGTCACAATAATGATCATCACAAAATCGGTTTTCGTTTGGGGAATTTTGTTTCTGAAAATGTGAAAAGTGACTTTCCACCATGTCTTGAATGAGCTGAACAGTTAAAGTTGGATGACGAAATAAGTGGAGAAATGTGCCGTTTGGGTATTGCAATGTTGAAGTTTTAGATGGACTAAAAAGTGCTGTAATAATAAGAAGAAATCATTGGTGCAGCATAACACTGTATGTCTAAATGATCTTCACCCAATTATTCTATGTACAATATATCCTGTGCATCCTTGACTGTATACATTTTTTTCTTTCCACATCTCCAAGTGCAGCCAAAAGTCAGCATGCTTGAGAATATCTCAGCATTCGAGGCAAACTCACCTTCCGGCAGAGGTGAGGTCCGGTCCAGAGGAATGCAGTGCGATGCTCGCGCAGCCTTCCCGGAGCCTTAGGATGTGATGCAAGTGGTAGAGAGCCACAGGGCATCCAAAAAAAAAAAAAAAAAAAGTCGATAAAAACGTGTGTGGAAAAGAAAACACAGGCACACTCGCTGTTGGTCTTTATCCGTGAAAGAGGAGCGGCATCCGTGCGTGACTCCTGGAGGAGGAGGAGGAGAAAAGGAGGAGGAGTGAGTGAGTGGACGGTGGTGATGAGGAGCTCCGGAGCGGTGCTCACCTCTCCGGCAGCTGAGCGCAACTGAACAAAAGAGCGAGCTGCAGTATTCTAATGAGCGTTAGCGGCAGCAGGAAGAGGAGGAGCAGGCTGAGGAGATGGGGCGGCGTAGGGGTTCTTACAAGAAAAGGGGAGGAGGGGGTTATAGATCACAAGTTACTGCATGAAAGCTCGAATCATACAATTTGGACAATTCTTCCAGTTTCTTTGTTATGTCTTGTACTAGTGCAATTTGTTTGCCTGCTGTAATTTATGTGCGGTGGTGCCTCGACTCATGAGTTTAATTTGTTCCATGGCCACACTCGTAATGCAAAGCGCCTGCATCTCAAATCAGTTTTTCCTATTAAAATGAATGCAAATACCATTATTTTGTTCCAGCCACACAAAAAACACCAACGAATATTTTTGATTTTGAATTAAAATAAAACACTCAGCACTTAACATTGTTGCACTTGCCATAAAAACATACAGTAACAACAAAATTAAACAGCATGTAAAGAAACAGTTTGTGCATCCAAAAACACTTCTTGTCGCATTTGTAAAAAAAAAAAAAAAAAAACATTCATTATGACTTGACAATAGCAGCGAATCTGCCATCCTAACCCCATTTTGTCCCTTTAATTTGATATCCAAAAAAATTGTTATACACAAAAAAAATCACTGCTCCAAAGGAAAAACAACCAGAGATTGTTTTCTCATTTAATATTTATCAAAAACTACTTGTCAAGTCATAATAACTTTTTATTTTTCAACAAATATGACAAAAAGTGATCTACCTTTTAATATTGCTAACGTTCCATCTAACGTCCAAACTACTGGCAAAAAAAAAGTGAGTACAGTTACATGTTTGTCCGGGTTTTTATGCTTGTGATTGTGCCTTATTCGGTTCTATCCTGTTCTGTCAGAGCACTTTGAAAATGTGTCGTTAAAGGTGCTAAATAAACAAAGTCACTATTCTTATTATTATCAGTAATAGAAGGAGTATTTTTTATTTGCAATGAACGTGCAGACCCTCACTAAAAATATGTACAGACGACTTGTTTCTCGTTAAAACGGAGAGAGAGGGAAGCGCGCTACAGTTAAAAGATCTGGCAGAAACGGCGTTGTCATACATACAGAACAAGGAGGCGCTTTGGAGCGTCGAAAGTATAATGATCCCCCAGGAGGGCACGCGTGCATACATGCAGGCAAAGCAGGCAGGGGGTGGCTTGTGTTTCTCTCCCTTCAAGGAGATTTTGCTTTTATTGCGATATATCTTTTGTTAACAAAACGCTCTCATTGGGGACGTTGCTAACGCTCGCTTCAACATGGTGACGGTTAGTCAAGCACCGGGAGCTGTCCGTGGTGCTGACTGAGCGAGCCCAAATAATTGGTCACTGAAAAAGTGGAAGGAGGACGATGAAAAAAAAATCATACAAATTTAAATACATTTAGCCAAGATCCTTTTGTAGCATTTAATCTTCAATGTTAAGACCACGAAGCTATGTTTTAAAGGTTCGTTTTTATGTGCCCGCTCTTCCTGAAATGACCCGAACCACCAAATAATAGAGGAAATGCTAAAAGTAATCCCAACATTTTAAAAAGGCGTCTCTGTTGAGCCCATGGCAACCCAGATCGTTGTGTTTATTTTGTGTAGTTGCTACATCACACTCTTAAATGCATATTTGATGTGGCGGCTGGAGATTTTCAAACCCCACGCATTGCTTGGAAGCGTCCTTTGGCTGGAGTTTATTACATTTTCTGCATGACTTAATTAGACAAACACAGAGGGGAATTAATCCCAGGGAAAATGTCTTATTAAAAACACTGTCCAGCCACCCCTGAATCCCACTGAAATAATTACTCATGTTTGTCCCTGAGAGGTTTTATTTTGAAGGGGGGATATAAAGTTTACTCCGAGTTACACCCGTCTGGATGGCGGCTCTGTTTGCGCAGAGACAACATCCCGAAGGCGGAAAATAAATCCGCCTCTAGATCAGACAACAACAGGCGTCAACCCAGGCGTATTCCTGGTAAACACCCCGGAAACATCTTGAATAAACAATAAGATGACAACGCGTGTATCATTTTTCGAATGAATATGGTGCATCATTTCAGATAAAGCGTGATCCATAAATCATTGTAATCAACGACTACTCTGCCCATAAAGTTGTACAAAACCATCGCTGATGATAATGGATTGTAATGCCCCTGCAAGTGATCAAGGTGCACATTCAATCACTTCACTGAGCAAACAGGAAACAAACATGGAAACACGTATAAACACGAATTGCTGACTCCCACTGGAGGGATTTTACGCTATAACTTTACATTTTTTTTAAAATCTTGTGTGCTTGGACTGCAGGATTTTTACAAAATTTTATTCCAGGGTAATTAATCAGAGATCAAAGAAAGACCTCACCAGTGGAGGGCTACTTTTTGAGAGGTCTTAAATCCTTTGGCCCGGTCGGCTCTGCAGCGCTGAACGTAAACTCCCTATTCGAAAAGGTCGGCTAATTGCTTTCCTCGCCACTCTTACACTCTCTGAAACACACAACACATTAGCGACAATTACAGCCACAGGACAACAACAGCCGCACGTCATCAGTGGGTCACAGGCAATTAGGATGTGCAATTATATGTTCCGATACTTTTCCATCTGAAAACTATTTCATGCACCCTGTATCCTGATAACATGATAAGCTGTCCACTGTAGTAACCGCTGTTCCTGAAAGGGTTAATGCTGTCTCTCTGATTCAAACGTTGATCTCTTCAGATATCAAACGCAACTATCTTCAGTCTGCAGGAAATGTTGTGGAATTAGCCACACTGCTGCAACTTCGGAAAATCGGAAAATTCCAGGAAAAGTTCCGGTTGATCTTTAGGCGGGAAACGTGGCCGACCTCGATATACCATTCATAAGCCAGAGGATCGTCACGAAAACAATGAATCAAACAGAGTCGTCTTTCCTTCTCCGCATATAAGAACTTGCTTATCCATCGAAACGCGGCCACAATGGAAACAGCACAGACAGATGAGAGATGAGCTTGTGACTCCACGTGGCTTGCCTGCCGAGCACCAACAAGGACAATTAAAGAGCGGTAAAATCAAGTCAACCTTGAACGAAGGGAGCGATAAAACCCGGTTTGCGAAGACATGTCATTCGAATCAATTAAACTGGATTACAGGTCAATATCAATGTAATTGTCATTGCGAGACTGTACTCCCGAAGGTGCGGGTTGAGTGGGCTAATTGGGCAAAAGGGCAGGGAAGGGAAGCTCTCTTGGATAGTGGCGGCCATGTTTGATAAAATTGGCTGGTGGTGAGAAACACGGCGAAGGAACCGCAAAAGGAGTATGTGCGCTCGAGGGAGGTGGTTAAGTAAAAATAATGCGGTTGGAGGTTTTTGAGGTTAGAAGCGCTGATGGGGACTCCACAGCTGAGTGACCTGCATACGACAGACGCAAGCACTAAAAGGCAATCAGCAAAACACACTCGGTCATTTGTCATCCACCGCCTGATTGAAGGCTAGATTACCTGAATGTAGAGTGTGGGGGGTGTACAGGGGGAGTGGGGGGCAAGGGAGTAGAGGGCAAGAGGAAGGTGCACAAAGGCAGGAGGAAAGGAATTATGGAGAATGCTAAAGGTATAGCAACGAAAAGTCTCAATAGGGGTGAGGAAGCGACAATGATACGACAATGATACAAAACCCCCCCACACAATCAAGTTTTCAAATTTGATTGTGTTTTTTTCCATTTTTGACGTAAATATGAATCACCCAGAAAACGTGTTCGCCAGTCGAGCGATCGCTCACTCTGCTGATGTTTGCCTTGGACGTTTTCGAAGGATTGTTAAAAGCTGACAAAAGCACGCGTCCTTGGATCAGTTCTTTATAAAACGCCAGGCAAAAACCACTTCTGAGAGAGAACATGAACTAAAGAGGGCAAAAACGACAAGGACGCAGTTAAAAGTTAGATGACTATCATTTTTATTCTTTATTCTTTGTTTTTTACATTATGCACAACTCTCATTAATTGTGCAATAATCTAATTGTAACATGTATTTGTTACATATTTCGATGCATTTTTATGCTTTAGAAAACACTTATATCTGAATTTTGGAGGAGCTTGGAACGGATTCGGGCATTTACATGGAAAACGCGTTTCTGCTGACAACATTTTCTCGTTAAGTAATTTCTTCCAGAACACAATTTCGTAAGTAGAGGTACCACTGTATAATAAATAAAAAAATCACAAAATGCGGTGTCAACTTTCTAGGACGACTTATCTGACAGGCCATGATAGTCAAAGGACAAGTAAAATCTCAGAGGAACGGTTCTGAAAACTTCTAAGCCATACATGTTCCGAATAAATAATAATAAGCATTTGTTGAATCCCATTTTGTCATCCATTTTGTATGGCCCGGAGGAGGACTTGGGTCTCTGAGGGGACAAGGGGTCCCATCCCGGCTGAAAATGAGGATTTAATGATGGCGTGCAGGTGGGGGCAAGTGATCTATAATGAATGAAGCCTAGGAGGAGCTAAAAGGCTGTTGGGGGGCTATAGACGGAGAGGGGATTCTCTGTTTCTCTAATAAACGCAGAACCCCAGTTTAAGGCTCTCTCACGGAGGCACAATGGCTTTATGTTTATTGATGTTTCCAACTCGAGTACAAGCGCAATACAAGCAGGAGTGTGGACAAAAGGCTTTTGCAACAAAGAGTCCATTGTGCATTTTTCTTTTTTTCTTTTAATCTCTCTTTTCAAACTAAATAATAGGCATAATGCATTGTGGCTTGTCTCCCAAACAAAAAGGACAAAAGGGGAGCTGGAGCATCCAATTTTATTCCGATGAGATTTGGCGAACATAACCTGCTTCGAATCAAAGCTACAATACAGCTGACGAAATGGACTGACTTGACCTGTCCACCTTTTAGAATCATTTCCAAATCAACGACCAGTCCGAACTTGCTTGAGTCACTCACGACTAAATTTAGCTCCTTCGGGGTGGTACAAAGCTTGTCTCTCAGTTGAGATGCAACATTTCAAAAC